AATTTTGCTATCAGATATGGAGGTTTAGGAAATAGAGAAAAGACAAAAGTTCTCAGATTGCTGTAACTGATACTTTAAGGTGTGACTGGGCCTCTTGAGGCTGTTCTGGGATCAGCCGGTGAGTCACAGTGCGATACCCGCCTGCTGCAAAAAACCTACATGATGACACATGCCCCCCCCCGTCTTGGAGGGGGAGGGCTGCGTCAGCCTGCGTGTGACACTGTGTCAGCCCGGGTGGTGTATAAAAGACCTGCCCCAGCCCTCAGCTAACACTCATTTCACCACATCTCTGGAGAGACTCCACACCTTTGGACCTACTTTTGTTTGACGACCGCAAGAAGGTTTTATTTTTAGACATGGTGGCGGCCGGGTTTCAGATTCTGGGCATCGCCCTGGGCATCATCGGCTGGGTCGGGACCATCGTCACGTGCGCCCTGCCCCAGTGGCGGGTGACCGCCTTCATCGGGCAGAACATCGTCACGGCGCAGACCACCTGGGAGGGCATCTGGATGACCTGCGTGGTCCAGAGCACCGGTCAGATGCAGTGCAAGGTCTACGACTCCATGCTCAACCTGCCCCAGGACCTGCAGGCCGCCCGGGCCCTGACCATCGTCTCCATCCTGGTGGGGATCGTGTCCATCCTCCTGGCCGTGGCGGGGGGCAAGTGCACCAACTGCATCGATGACGAAAGCGCCAAGGCCAAGGTGTGCGTGGCCGCGGGGGTCATGTTCCTCATCGCCGGCGTGCTGTGCCTCGTCCCCGTCTGCTGGACGGCCCACGCCACCATCAGGGAGTTCTACGACCCCATGCTGGTCAGCTCCCAGAAGAACGAGCTGGGGGCGGCGCTCTTCATCGGTTGGGGGTCCGCCGCCCTGCTCATCATCGGCGGAGGGCTGCTCTGCGCAAACTGCCCCCCCAAAGACGCCTACTCCGCCAAGTACACGGCCCCACGCTCGACCGCGCCCAAAGACTACGTCTGAGGAGAAAAAAGAGAGAGAGACTGGCAGAGACTTGGTGCAGGGGTCATGTGACCACCGAGGGAAATTAGCTCAGGATTCGGGTTGATTGAGTCGAGTTGCGGCCTTCGGGGATTTGTTCGGGCGGGAGATGTGGACCACACCCAGACACAAGCCCAGCCTGCCTCGCGGAGTCCCATCTCCAGGAGCAAACCTTCTATGTGACGGGGTTTTGTCCAGCTTTTTTCACGATTTTGTATTTTTTTACACATTTCTGTCTCATTTCATTTGAGTGTCTGCTGACGGATGACTGTTTGAAAATTGTACAAACAGAAAAATTGTAAATAAATGTTTTCTTTTGGCACTGATCCGCCGCTTTGTGTGATTTTTCTTTGTGTATTTTACCTGGAAAAATAGGCCACCCCGACATTTATTATACACAACTGGCAGTTTCCCAGATTAACTCTGAGTTTTCCTCTAATGGTTTACACCCCAATATGTCAAAACCTTTTGGCCCAGATGATATATTAAACAATATATTTAACATAATTTGAATTATCATTTTTAGCAGTGCAATTTTCAAGTATTCTATTTTACAAAAAATTAAATAAAAAAATTGTAAAGAATGCAAAATTTTAAGTAAAGATGTAGAGTTCTAATTATTTCCTGTTATTATGAACAGAAAAGAGAGTTTTTGACTTCTGGGTTTGAAATCCCAATTAGCTAAAAATGTAGAAACATTGAGAATGTCAGACATATATCTATATGTGTGTGTGTGTGTGTGTTAGAGTGAGTCTGTGTGTATGTGTGTGTTTGTGTGTGTGTGTGTGTGTGTGTGTGTGTGTGTGTGTGTGTGTGTGTGTGTGTGTGTATAAAGACAGCTAAAGGCTCCTAAGATTGTGCAACACTGCCCCTTACTGTGCAAATACCAAAACAGCACATTTGGTTTGCTTAATTTTCATATCAGATAAGATTGGCAAGCATCTGAATTTTATTTGAGATCATCTTATTTTAGGACATTTATTTATATCGATAAGTTGTAATAAAGTTGTTCTTGTCAAGTTTTCTGCCACAGGAAGTTCAATTTTCCGTTTTGTGATTAGATCTGAGCAGATAAGAATCGTAGGAAGCAAAGCTAATAAAAAGAGAGAAACTTCATCTAACGCGGAGTGAGAAATGCCATAAAACATTGTTTTGAAATGTGTCTAATCAGACCTAAAGAGAGACATTAATTACTGTAACATAAAATCAAACTATGTCTCATTAAGGAGAGTTAAGAGTCATATGTCATAATATCCATGTTTTGTCCTTTTGAGCTAAAAAATAAGACAAATCTTCTGCTGCCTTTTCCTCAAAATCTTTCTGTGATTTGGACTTAAATCTTTGAAATCATGGAATGAGGACTTTTCTGTGACTTCAACCTGCAACAACAATAAAACTGTAATTACAGTCATGATGTGAATGTGAAGCTGTGGAGCAACACCTGCTCTAAAATGCACAGAGTGGAAAATAATGTCCTTTTTCTAAGGGAATCCCAGTTCAAAGAGCTGGAGGAAAACAGTCAAACGTGGATTTGCATGTTGTTTTATCTCATTTAAGGAAGGAATCTGTGCTTTTAATGCTGAAATAGACAAGAAATAGACAAGAAATAGGCAAAACCTCTCCTTTTTGCAAAATGAACCTCTCACTGTGTCATTTTCATATCAAAATTAATCGCATTTTTTAAAAGATAGGAACAATAAAAAGACCCTTTGACGTCTGGACGTGGAGCCGGCGTCTGACCTTGAAGCTCCAGGCTTTTTCAGGCTGGTCAGCATAACCTATGGGAACAGGTTCTTTGTTGTCTGTAAACCTCTGGAGGCCAATAGGCGCTGAGGGCTGCCCCCCCCCACGGTCTGTTCTTCCCACACTCCCGACCACAAACCTGAGCTTCAGCAAAACCTCACTTCGGCCGTCTCTGCCTTGGTTTGAGGAGCTAAAGATGGTCTCTCAGGGGGTCCAGGTGACCGGCATGCTGCTGGCCGTGGTGGGCTGGTTCCTGGTCATCATCGTGTGCGCCCTGCCCATGTGGAAGGTCTCCGCCTTCATCGGGGCCAACATCATCACGGCCCAGACCATCTGGCAGGGCATGTGGATGAACTGCGTGGTCCAGAGCACGGGCCAGATGCAGTGCAAGGTCTACGACTCCCTGCTGGCCCTGCCCCAGGACCTGCAGGCCGCCCGGGCCATGGTGGTCATCTCCATCCTGACGGGGGTCTTCGGTGTGGTCCTTTCCATCGCCGGGGGGAAGTGCACCAACTGCATCGAGGACGAGCGCTCCAAGGCCAAGGCCTGCATCGCCTCGGGGGTGTCTTTCATCGTGTCGGGGGTCCTGTGCCTCATCCCCGTGTCCTGGTCGGCCAACACCATCGTCACCAACTTCTACAACCCGCTGATGGCCGCGTCCCAGAGGTACGAGATCGGGGCGGCGCTCTACGTGGGCTGGGCGGCCGCCGCCCTGCTGCTGATCGGGGGGGGCCTCCTGTGCTGGAACTGCCCCCCCAAAGACCAGCACCCGCAATACGTGACCAAATACACCCCTCCCAAGTCGGCCTCCACCTCCAGGGAATACGTCTAGGACCGTTCCCCCCATCCTGGACCCTCAAAGCCGTTCGGATAAGAAGGAGAAGAAGGAAAGATTTGCTATCAGCCTTCTGGTTTTGTTTTTGTGAGAAGTTCAAGTTTAGCTTTTTCTGAGGGATTGTTCCCGATGCCACACGTGAATATAATTATTCCTTTGAATGTGATTTAATGCCCTTTTAAGTGGTCGGTCAGAGTGTCTGAAGGCACAAAACGCAGCTTCCTGAAAACTTCGGCCTCACACGGGTTAATTCTGCTTTCGTGTCAAAGCGGATGTGGTTGATGGACATTATCTTTCATCTTTTGAACGCCTTTTCACAGCTTGATAATCAGCACTTAAAGTGTTGAATTCTCACTTTTTCCTCTGTAATCATTCATATTGAAATTTTGTGTCAATGTAAAGAATCTAGAATTAGAAAATATGATTCCAACAGCTAAATGTCTGAAGATTTAACCCTTTAAAGCCTGATTTAAGAATAAAACAAAACAGGAAATTACTTTTTTTTGGTTTGAATTCCTTATTGGCCTTTTAACAAAATATGTAAAAAGAAAAAACAGAAACACATTTTTAATATTAATAATTTATTACTATGCGATGAGTCAAGATTATTTTTTGTGTAGTCTTCTGCCCCCTGTTATCAGGTGTATCTGATTGTGTACAATAGGATTTTGAGCAAAGTTTTTACCATTAAATTATGCAAAAGGTGTCAGACGCAAAACATTTCAGAAACCGTATGAATCAAACATGATACATTTGGCTTTACAGGGTTAAGAGGCACTGTGCTTTCAACAAACAAGCACAAATTTAGTGACTACTATTCTTTCTTACATCTGTCTGTCTGCAGACAGCGTTTAGGGATGAGCTTAATATTAGTTTGAACTTTAGTATGGCTTCTAATGTATCTTTATAGTTCAAGTTCTCTACAATTTCTGCTTTGAAACCATGAATAAAACAGAACAAACTGCATCACAAAGCAAAGATTTGATTGTCTTGGTGTTTGATAGGATGTTGTTTTAGGACCTCTATGAAGGCAGAAGTTATGTCACCGACTGGGAAGAGTTGGACGCCATTTCAAACTATCTGGAGTCCATCGTTCTGCAGAGGGACAAGTTATTAACAGCTGGAAAACATTCAGCAGAGCCGTCCATCTGCCCAGCAGTGGTCACCCCAGGGTCAAAGACCCAGCAGCCACATCTCAGACTCAAACTCAAGACTCAAAGGTCCAGACAGCACAATCAGAAAAAGACTGAACAGGTATGTTTGTTGGTTCGGGAGAAAAAAGAAAATGGCAGCACGGGTTTGATCTTTGGAAAGAAAGAGCAGAGCAAAGTGGAGAAGCAAAGAAACCAAACAGCTCAGAGCAGCTATCAGCACGGCGGGGGAGGGATGATGATCTGGGCCGGCTCTCCAGCTTCTGGACTTCAGAGCTTGAGCCTTCAGAGAGCTGCAAGCCTCAATGAGCCTCAGAAAAAAGAATTAGTCACACACCACTTCTGTTTTATGCCACTTTCTGTTCAAGGAAAAACTGAGTCTTGACATGAAGCTCTTCCTAACTGACTTGGAGGGTATGGAGACACAGTTAGGACAAAATAAACAACATGTTGTTGCCTCTGAGTTCTTGAAAATGATTGAGGAAATTAAAGGAAACCACAGAAATCCTGAAAAATTCCTACAAGAATTGCGTCTGTGGTCTTATTGTGTGTCAGAATCTTAATGATCGTACTAAAATCAAATGGAGGCATAAATATCCCAGAGAAAAGAGCTGCCTTCAGCCTTTCATTCAACCTCTTTATGACCCCCTCAGGAGCAGTTGGGGATGATCTGACGAGTTTCCTGTTTTTATCTGAGCTGGTTTCAGGACCTGTTCAAGTTGTAAACAGCCGCCAATTAACCGAGTGTTACTGGAAGGAGGTATCGGCACACGGCAGGGCCCAGAGGAGGATGTTGTTTCAGAGTGAGGGCCCCACCCTCATCCTCCTCCAGCAGCAGGAATCTCGTTTGTCCAGAGGAACTGGCCTGACACCAGGACGGCCCTCCTCCTCCTCCTCCTCAGTCTGCGACAGACAACAGGAGGGAGAGGCAGCCTACTCAGAGCCGACAGAGCCCGGTCGCCATGGGGAAGATCGGCAAGGAAGTGGCCGGCATGGTGCTGAGCTTCGTGGGCCTGGTCCTGGCGGCGGTCACCTGCGGGGTGCCCATGTGGAGGGTGACCTCCTACATCGGCGCCAACATCGTGACGGGCCAGATCGTGTGGGACGGCCTGTGGATGAACTGCGTCATGCAGAGCACCGGCCAGATGCAGTGCAAGCTCAACGAGTCGGTGATGAGGCTGTCCCAGGACCTGCAGGCCGCCCGGGCCCTGGTCATCATCTGCCTGGTGGTGGGCCTCATCGGCTTCATGATCACCTTCATCGGGGCCAAGTGCACCAGCTGCCTGGAGAAGGACTCCTCCAAGGCCAACGTGGTCATCATCGGGGGCTGCCTCGTCATCCTGGCGGCCGTCCTGGTCCTGATCCCCGTCTGCTGGTCGGCCGCCATCACCATCGCCGACTTCCAGAACCCGCTGACCATCGAGACCCAGAGGAGGGAGATCGGAGCGTCCATCTACATCGGCTGGGCCTCCGCCGCTTTCCTGCTAATCGGAGGGATTATTCTCACCACCTCTTGTCCTCCTCAAAGTACCACGTACCCCGGATACCCGCCGGGACCGATGTACCCCTACCAGCCCGCCAACCCGGCCACTTACGGCCCCGTCTACGCACCGCCGTCCAGCGGGCCGTACACAGCCTCGGGGTCTTACGTCCCCGGCAAACCCTACGCGGCACCAGCCGCGTACTCCCCCCGACAGTTCATCTAAAATCTGGAGGGACAGTCCAGCTTTGAGACTTTGAAAAGTACCGATGAGCTGCCGTAAGCAGGCAAAACTGTAAGAATTACACTTATTTCCAGAGCATGGTATGTATGCCTGTGCATGAGATGTTGGATTAATGCGTCATTTTGATCTTTGAATGTAGGAACTTTGTCAGAAAATCCCCTGTTTATCATTTATTCACTGCTTTAATGGAAAATCTCCTCCAGAAGAGAAATATCGTGTCTCCTGTGATGAGGAAGACACTGTGAATATATATACTGTATTTATTTCCTTGAACACGGAAAATGTTTTGATGATTTGTATCTGTCTGATTTGTACTTTTGTTTGTTTTCTAAGAGAGACACTTTATTTCTGAGCTTATTCAGAAGAATTTCAATAAAATGATGAGCATTTTCACTTATTTCTTTGTCATTCTGCGTTCCTAACATGAAATATTGACGAATCAACTCTTACCTGGCAGGTTTTTTGGGCCTGTCTTTGTGTCTACATTTATGAAGGATTTTATCAATAAAAAAGTAGGTAAAAAGATTATTTTACCTCCAAGAATTAACATGAAATATTCATGAATCACCTCTTACCTGGCAGGATTTCTGGGCCTGTTTTTGAGTCTACATTTATGAAGGATTTTATCAATTAAAAAAGTCAGTAAAAAGATTATTTTACCTACCAGAACTCCAATGAAAACAAATTTTTAACAATTAAATTCAAAGAAAATAAACAAATGCTTAAATGCATTTGGGTCATTTCACTATTCACAACAAAAAATGATAATAAAAATTATTTCTAAGCTCAAAAACTTAGAAGAGAGTATCTGTACTGAAGTAAAAACTGCTGAGTGGGCAGAAAGTGACGTCTAAAAGGATGGAAAGGAGCCATAAAAGGAGAACGCTCGTGACATCCGGTGAAACTGGTCCGTTATCATTACGAAAACCCGAAAGCACTGACTGGACGTGACGTCCTGGGCAGCCGTCCAATCAGCAGGCGGCCTCCCGCAGAGCGCCGTTTGAACGAGGAATGCGGCCCGTCGTCCCAAAAACAGATCCTCATCTCGTCGAAACTGCGCCTTTGTCCCTGCGCAGGAAAGGAGAAGAATCTGGTCGGGCCGGTGGATCACAGCAGGCGGTTTCAGGTCAGAGGGCAGGCCGCTTAGGCTCCGCCCCCAACTGCAGCGTCCTTTAAAACAAAAGGAACAACAGCGGGACTCATCATTCAGGCTTCAGACCGGAGACCAGACTCAGACCTTCGCCATGGTGTCTATGGGACGACAGATGCTGGGCTTCTGCCTGGCGGTCATCGGCTTCCTGGGGACCATCATCGTGTGCGCCCTGCCCATGTGGAAGGTGACCGCCTTCATCGGCGCCAACATCGTCACGGCGCAGATCATCTGGGAGGGCCTGTGGATGAACTGCGTCATGCAGAGCACCGGTCAGATGCAGTGCAAGATCTACGACTCCCTGCTGGCCCTGCCCCAGGACCTGCAGGCCGCCCGCGCCCTGGTGGTGGTGGCCATCATCGTGGCCGCCTTCGGGGTCATCCTCGGCGTGGCCGGGGGGAAGTGCACCAACTTCATCGAGAAGGAGCACACCAAGGCCAAGGTGGCCATCGCGGCCGGGGTGGTCTTCCTGTGCGCCGGGGTGCTGGTGCTGGTCCCCGTCTGCTGGTCAGCCAACACCATCATCCGGGACTTCTACAACCCGCTGATGACCAACGCCCAGCGGCGGGAGCTGGGCGCCGCGCTCTACGTGGGCTGGGGCACGGCCGGGCTGCTCATCCTGGGCGGCGCCCTCCTCTGCAGCTCCTGCCCCCCCAAGGAGGGGCCCGAGTACCCGGTCAAGTACGGGGGGGCGCGGTCCATGGCCAGCAGCCGGGCCTACGTCTGAGGGATTAAAAGCTGAGAGACTGAGGACTGGAAACAGAGAAAAGTGTTGCTCCCAGGCCTGAGCCTGAGCTTATTGTTCAGAGGGGGCCCCCCCAACACAAGCTTCCTATAAAAAAATGGCTGCCATACTCTCAAGATGTTATAATGGTGGAACTTTCCACTGCAAGAACCCGTGTCAACAACACCAATGTGGGAAAGAACTTGCAGGCGAATCACGAACAAAGAAATCTCTCACATGCTTTGTCCTTTTTTAAAATTTGTATTTTTATGTATATATCTATATATATGTTTTTTAATTTATGACCTAATGGGTCATGTGATTTGCTTCTCAGGTCGGGGGGGGTGGGGTGGGTATTGATCACTGACTTTGTAATGTTCCTGTTTGCCAGCTTGGGAATTTGTTCTCAATTAAAAAAAACAGTGAATCACAAAAAGAGACTGAGAACGAGAGGGAAGAGAGAGAAGTGATTCTGTCAGCTAATAAGAGCTGCTTTATATTAAGCTAAAATTACACCTGATTTTTCTCTGTTAGCCGGCAAGTAGAAAAAACGTGTACAGTGGACTATTGTGAATGTATTGTACGTAATATTCAACAACAATATCAGTTTGCTGCCAGTATCTGTGAAATGACTTCATACACTGATTTGTATTAAATTTGTAATAAATCGCTCATGTCTGATCTGATTTGTGTCTTTGGGTCTCTGCAGGAGGTGTTTTCCTTTTTGACATAGTTAGCTTAAAGAGAGGAAGTCCTTTTCAACACGTGGGCCGTGAATTTAAATTTGAGTTTCAAGTAAAAACAGCACATGCAATAACACATGAAGAAGAAATCAGGGTGTAGAAGGCGGAACTTAGTGGTGTAAGAAAAAACAAACTGCTTTAAAAACACCTCGTGCCTGTCCGGCTTTGTTTAAACTAGTTCAGCCTGTTTCTCAGCTTAAAATGAGCTCATGGTTTCTCGGCTGTTTTTATGGGATTCGTACACGTCTTGTGACCCAGAAAAGCAGATTTTCCATCAGCAGGGTGGAGAGGACCCACAATCTGATGAAAATCTGTCCTTTTTTAAAATCTAATGGGCATCTCTTATGCCGTAAAAATCAGTCAGACAAATTATTTTGGCTGGCTTTGTTCTTTTTGTGCATTTCCTGAGGGCCTCAAATTCTAACACTGGTGTGTTTTCCCTAAAGCAACTTTCTGAAATCAGCTTTTAACAGGAAAAAATATATTTAAATGACAAAAAAAATACCCACAGAGTGGATTTGGATCCAGATTCACATCAGAAGTTTCATCTCATTGTAAATCTTTTGACTGCTTTTGGGAAATCGAAAGTTAATAAAATCCAAACCAAGCAACCAAAAACTTAGGACTTGGAAAAAAAAAACAGGAGAAAAGGGATCAGGAACTGAGAGAGACTGAAGAAAACATAGGCGGGTGACTTGGGAAAAAGACACTTTGGAGAAGTGAGAAGGACACGGTGGGCACACACCAGGAACCAAACAAAAAGAAAGATCAACAACAGAAGAGCAAGAGCCACAAAACTACAGAACAAAAACCAAAACTCAGGACTCCTGACATCCTGTGTGGAGCATTAACTTGACCAAAGCCCTTCAAAAGAAGGGCTCACTTCCCTGAGAGGCATGTTTGGGGCATTTTCTCCAGTCTTTTTTACAGGAATCCAACTGGATTTGTGTCTTTATTAATGTGTTTGAGTCTAAACTGGAGGGCTAATCGTTATAACCTCATTACAAAAAGCTTTTCACAGATTTGACTAAATACAAATGACTCATCTCTGATGATGTCCTGCCACCGACAAAGAGGGGAAGTGTTCTGTCACTCTTATAAAAGAAGACGATCGTAAGCTTAATGGTGGTCGAAACTGCCTGGCTTTAAATAAACAAGCTCTGTGCTTCCTCCTGGGCCCAGATAGTCAGAGGCATGATGTCAGCATAGCACGGCAGGGCGTCTGATAGGTGTGGCCACACCCTGCTCATCAGGTATCACACGGCCAAGCCGGTTTTTGCTCCACAGAGCACATCTCTGCCCTCAGAACCGCTCAACAACAGGATGAGATGAAGATACCAAGTGCACACACGCAAATATTAAAAAACTCACGTGAATTCACAAGCAGGAGGTCCGTTTTAAAGGGATTTTCTATTCACAGATGTCAATAAAACCCAGCTGAACTACACCGAAAGAGTCCATTAAAGCACAGCTTGAGGCAGAAGTTTATTCGGTGGCATCTGAGGCTCTGGGATCAGGATAATTAGCAGAGGAAAACTTATTTACTGGGATGTTTTTTCTCCTGGCAGAAGAGCGTTTGAATAAATCTGATTTCTCTTTATAGATTCTGTGAGGATTTCTGGCCCCAGACTGAAGGTTTCCACGTGTAATCTATGTGAGAGAATTAAGTTCTCCTAACACGATTAAATCATGTGAGCTTTTGAACTTTGGGAGAGGATAAACACAGAAAAAACTGAATATTGTAACCATGGCTACCGTTAAAAAGATGGGGTGGGTGCTTTGCTTTATTTGCAACACCACTCTAATAATAATAATAATAATAATAATAATAATAATAATAATAATAATAATAATAATAAGAAGAAGAAGAAGAAGAAGAAGAACATTAATATTATTATTATTATTATTATTATTATTATTATTATTATTATTATTA